TGTGTGTGTGTGTGTGTGTGTGTGTGTGTGTGTGAATATTTATATATAAACATATATCCTTTTTTTCAGAACTATCGGCAGCTCTGCAACAGAACTGATGAGTATGCTGACGCATTGGAATGCTCAGCTAAGGTGCATTTAATGTGTTCTCCAGATAGTAAGTTTTCTAAAGGAACATTCCTTTTTTGTTTGCAAAGTCTTATCCTTTTATTTGATATGATGTGTGCGTGTTTGGAACAGTACACAGCTAGTGCATTTGTCGAAGAGCGTCATTTTTCGTCTGACTTCACCAGGATGCTCAAGTATTTCTTATACTGTTTCTTACACCGTTTCATAACTGCAGATGATCGGGTTTTCACAGTCTGCATAGTGGTGGTCATTATGTTTTATAACTACAGCTCGTCCAACACAGTAATAGCATAGTATTTAATTATGAATGACTTTTGATTCCATTTACTTTGAGCCTTGAGATCTTGAATGATAATGTAATATGACAATCCTGGTTTGTCTTTTTGAGTAATATTTTCTTCACGTTGTAGGTTGATGTGAAAAGGCACTTTCCTAGTCAAGGTTGTCTTTTTTCTGCGCGTCCATCTGAGGGTGAAAATGAACATATCTACTGTACAGTTCTGGAATATATTCCATTCAAAGAGGTTATCAATAGTACTAGAGCTCTCAGTTGTAAAGTCATACGTGTCAGACGTAAGGGAGGCGGGAAGGCAGAGGGGTGACGGCCAATCTGAAGAAGTTTAGAGTGTCAGTCGGTACACAATGAATAAGGAGCGCATCAGTAACAACAGTTGGGGGAGATACTAATAAGGTAATTGCGATGCCTCATAATAAGTTAGATACACACGGATAGTGTAGCACAACAATCGTACACTGAAAACTGCAACCGACCATGTTGTATGTTTATGACACTACTGAATCATAACTTTAATTTCTCATCCTGAAGGGCACCAAATTAATACATTCAAACAAGGAGACATAACTACGGTAATTAACGATAGTGAACCAAGCACAGTTATTTCTCTTTTAACAAATATTACAGGGATATACTACATTCCTCCCCTTTTAAGCGTTTAATATTGACTGAATCAAATGACCAAAATGAAGGTAACTGAATTTGAGCTGAACTTATCCAAATTGATCAAGCTGAAAATGACATCAAATTCTAAACAGTGGTCGCAATTGGACACAAATCATTCACATACTAAAATTGCTTACATTACACAAACATAATGACATTAGTAACAATGATAGGACAATAATCATTTGCAACAAACACACAGGGTCTACTGCAACACAAGTACAGACATCATGGGATGAGATATACATTAAGGCAACTCTAAGACAAGCCTGTCTGGCGCCTTGCGTGGTCTGCTATACCTTCTCAGTGAAGGAGGAGCATAAGGGGTTCCAGTAATAACAGGGTCGAAAGACACACTGTAGTTGCTACTGTTAGGAGTAGCCTTGACTACTAGTTCTGGTGCAACCAGAACGGATGGGGGCACTGATACAGGGCTTTGCTCAGATAGAGGACATGAAACATTTTCGCTTTTCTGAGTGTTTCTTTCATCCATCTTTAACTCACATCTTTCATTCAGTTCACTTTCTTCCCTTCTTTCTACTTCATACTGACCAGAAAGAGACCTTTCAAAATCACAACTTGTGACTCGAATTTGATCCTGGTGTCTTCTCATCAGTCCTTGAGAAGGAGTTTGAATTTCAAAAGACAGAGGACCAGTCTGTTCTACAACTTTACCAGAGCCGCATTTGGATTTGTTGCCACTCCTGCTGAAATTTCTTATAAAAACATTATCATCTATCTCAATGCATCGCTCCTAGCAGTTTTATCATGATTTTCTTTTTGTCTTGCCTGCTGTGTTTGCACGTGGCCATGAACTACAGGATGTAGCAAATCCAGATGTGTCTTTGTTTTCCTATTGAATATCAACTCAGATGGACAAAGACCTGTAGATCTAGTTGAGCGAGGAGTTGACCTGTATTTAGTCAAAAATCTGTACACTTTGTCTTTCACACAACCTTTGTCAATCTTAACCATAGCAGTTTTACACGTTTTTACCGCTCGTTCTGCCAATCCATTCGAGGAAGGATGATATGGTGACACAGTGATGTGTTATACGCCATTAGCCTTCATGAAGTTATGAAATTCTGAGCTGATCCATGTTGGGCCATTGTCAGTTACGATAGAATTTGGTAGTCCCAAGACGGAGAACACATCACGCAGTTCAAGTATTGTTTGATTGGCTTTAATGTCTGACATGATTCTCACATCTAGCCAATTAGAGTGGGCATCTACAATGACCAGAAACATTTTCCCCTTAAATTTTTTAATGGACCAACAAAGTCCATGTGTAAGTGATCCCAAAGATCTGTTGGCCATTCCCAATTACCTAAGGGAGCTTTAGCTGGCTTTTTAGCATGTAATTGACCTTGGTAGCACACTTTGACAGATATTTCTATGTCAGTGTCTAATTTTGGCTACCAAACCCAGGGTCTTGCCAATGCTTTCATCTTAGTCATCCCAGCTTGTGAATCATAAAGCAACTCTAAAACATCACTTTGAAGTGATTGAGGAATTATGACTTTTAATCCCCATAACAGGCAACCTCTTTCAATGCTAAGCTCACTCTTTCTCGCTTTGAAAGTTCTAAGAGGACTGACGTAGTAGTCAAGTGTCTTTTCAGGCCAACCATTCATTGAGTAATTTAAAAAACTTGTCTTAGTACAGGGTCAGTTTTTGTCTCTTTTGCAAGTTTGTCAACGTCAAGTGGTATTTTGTCAATCAAATCAAACAAAAAGTATATTTCTTCATGCACAAAAGGAACAGCTGTTTGTTCTGGCAGTGGGAGTCTACTGAATGCATTAGCGTTGTTCTGTGGACATTGGCGATACTCCAAGTGGTAGTTGTACCCTGATAATGTTATGGCCCACCGTTGCACACGAGCGGATGCATGCTCAGAGATTGGTTTAGCTTCACCAAAAAATCCTAACAGAGGCTTGTGATCTGTCACAATGGTAATTTCTATACTAAAAATGTACTTCTGGAATTTCCTGACTCCAAATACTACCGAAACGCTTCCTTATCCAACTGTGAATACTTCTGTTCAGCTGGATTGAGTGATCTACTTGTGTAGGCAATCGGCTTCTCACCAAACCTATCCATATGGGAAAGAACTGCTCCAACACCATCAGGCGAGGCATCACATGTAAGAAAGATCTATTTTGAAGGATCAAAATGCACCAAAATAGAATTCGATGAAAGGAGCAGCTTAGCACCATTGAACGCTTGAGTCTGTGCCCCCATTGCCATCGGGCATTCTTGGTGGGTAAAGCATAAAGTGGGGCAAGGCGTTGAGACAAGTTGTCAATGAAACTTAAGTAGTTGTTGATGAGACCCAAGAACAATTTCAACTGCTGTATATTCTGCGGTGCTGGAGCATCCTTGATGGCTCTGATCTTTTCATCTTGTGGTTGCAGTCCATGCTTGGTAAGACGAAAACCAATGAAGTCAACTTCATTCTGAAGGAACTTACATTTGTCTATGTTGACAACCAGGCCTTATCCCTTACACACTGATAGTACCTTGCTCAGTGCCTCAAGGTGATCTGTGTCATTGGCCCTGGTCACATACAGATCATCAAAATAAACGCACGTGTTTGGAATATCCTGGAATAGACTATCCAATACTGGGGCTTGAAGATAATATTCCAAAGTACAGTCTCTAGTATTCATATTGACTTTTGTGAGTGTTGATCGTTGTGAGTTTTCTTGACTCTGGATCTAACTGGAGTCGGCTTATCTTCTCTAAGGCTATGTACAATAATATTATGACGGCGAGTGAGGCAAAACTTTCCGACAACACCTCACCGGACCAGACAGATCAGTTCGATCCGTGAAGACTGACCTCACAACCCAGATCACAAAGCATGTCCTAAGATCGTGTGTCAGCAGCCATGCGTTTACCGAGATTTGAGATCATAACGTGAACACACCAAACATTCCCACCGAACACAATCACGTCAATCAAACAATAAGGGAACCATGCAAGGTCTTGTGCTACATGATATTACACATTTGAAATATAAAAACTTGATATCTCACACGTGGATTATCAGTGTAATTCTAATAAATTACCCTACCTCCAATACTTGTCTTCTAATCCTCTGCAAGCACATAATATTAATATAGCTAAAGGTAAAAGTCTATTGAAACCATAGAAATGAATGCAGTTTCTTAGTCTTTCACTTTTTTAAGAGTATTTTTTCTGCTTATTTATTTCATTATAATGTATTTGGATTTCATTTCGCGGAGAGAGGCATACGTACATCAAATCATTAGTACGATCAAAAGTAGAAGACTGAATCCTAATATTTTTCCTTTTGTCACTTCACCTTCGACGAGAATGGAAAATGTGCTTTCATGTCAGCCTCTTTAATGGGGCCACTTGACCATTTGACCGGTCATTTGAATTTTGTTGATCTGGATCTATTTTGTCAGCTGAAATCAGTATAGTATGAAAAATGCATTCCATGAGTTATGGTAGTAGATCATGGTTTACCTTTCTTGTAACAATTACCAGTTGTAATTTGTCGCTGAAACTCGTGGTTACACTTTGACAACTTCACACGTAGAATAGATCATCGTCTACCATCATAACTCGAGCAATAAATTATTTATCTAAATCTGTGACTAAGACTCTTTTATGCTCCTCACACAAGACGATTAAATATTCTTAGATGAATGGATGAATATCAGAAAACTGAGGCGTCACCAAACAAGAACGACGGCAACGAGTGATTGCCGCGTCACCTCGTTGTTCATGCTGTGGTGAATGCTTCAGTCGTCTACGCAAGCTCTTTTATTCTTCATCACGTTCCTATCTTGTCAGAGGCGAGTTTTTCCTCCAACTGTCAACACAATAATAAACATTTTCAGTTGCCAAAAACTAATTCGAACAAAAACAGAGTTTATTTAGGATTTAAATGAGTCTCTTGGAAAATGTGTCAATATTATCTGTGTCCTCTATTCAAGAATCGTACGCAAGTCCAAACTGTAGTTCAAACTTCACGATATTTTTTGTATTTTGTTCAAACATCGCTCACTATCTCTGTTATTCATTTTTCAACATTTGTATCTGCAATATCTAGTCGCGTTCACTCTTTCAATGCTGTCTACTGACATCGTTCTTCACAGGAAGCTTCTTATATAAAACAATGAGATCGGAGGCCTTGAGAGAGATCAATTGGATATGCAACGACACCAAATTAAGAACAGACTGCATTGGCAATGCTTTTAGGGATGACTTGGTAGAGTGTGAAAAAGGCCAGTATGCATTGCAAGATAAAGGTATCTCGGTAAGTGTCTGTTCGTTGCATTTTTTTTTAAATCAATTATTATAAATACATTACTTTTAAATCTGAAATCTGGGGACCTAGTTTCTCAACGGGATGCAAGGTGGACAAGGAATTGTTGAAGGAAGGGCGATAGACGTTTGATGCACTGACACGTTCTTGGCAACATTTGTGTATAGATGGAATACCTTTTAAAGGATATCATGTAGATCATTAATTATTCTAGGTTTGTCTTCTGTTTAGAACACTCTACTACACAGAGACCAGTCACTAGTGACATTAATAACCCAGCTCTAGTTCGCTGTCGCTTCCAAAACCAAACTAGTACTCAACATTATTCCAAAATCTACGCTTTGATGCGTGGTTCTTTGAAGAAGGCCTTGCCGGTCTACTCTTCGATATTTTCTGTTAGTTTTTTTATTCAGTTTTCTGTCTTTTTTATCTCTTTTCTTCTTTACTATAAAACAGTTTTGCAAGGCCACTCGATTTTGTAACGGGGCGTACCATTTCAGCCTTGTTTTCCTCACGAGAGCCAAAAATACTCAATTTTGTTTCAGGGATGGAATCGCTCGTCAATCTATTGTATCGTCTTAAAATGTGTTATGTTGCATGTCTTTAGATGAAAAAGTACCAGTCTATCTTGAATAGAAGTCGAGATATTTGCTATTGAAGGAGTGGGGGTCGCCTGATTTCAGAGGTAAAATTAGCGAGAAAATGGCCGCGAAAGCTTGGTAACGTGTCCATAGCTTGAGAGCAGTTGAAAAATGAAAATTTACATTTTTGTGCTTTTACTCAACGTTTTTCTGTGAAATCCATGTGTAAGTGTTGTTGTTTTTTTGCTGGACATAAAAGGTGTAAAGGCTCTGCTAAACCTCTTTTACGGACATTGCATTGGCTTCCTTTTGAAAAAAGAATTGTGCACAAGTTGGCCACCCTATGTCACAAATGTTTCAATGATAATGCACCTTCAGATTTATCAAATCTGTTAAGACTGTACATTCCAACTCGCAGTTTATGGTCATCAGCTGACAAAAAGAAATTTATTTTACCATCTATGACTCTTAAACCAATGGGTGAAATGGCATTTGAATACCAAGGCCCCAAGATCTGGAATGCTTTACCAAGTACTTTAAGAGAGATCAAATCTTTTGATTCATTAAAATGTCAACTGAAGTCGTTTCTGTTTTTAAATTAATAAGATGAATATTTGGAGTAATTTTCTTTAAATCAAAACACAATATTTTATATTACTGTTGTACGTTGTACTGTATTGTAAAGCGCTTAGAGTCTGTGTACTTTATCGGGGTTGAGAGCTATATAAATGCCATTTATTATTTTTTATTAAGGTGAAAATAAAATCGACAAAAACTGCCACACCGGCAGAAATATGTGGATATCTTCGACTTCATATTTTTGACGAGCGCCTTATTTCACCACGATGTCTCACACAGTGGCGAAGCGTCTATATAATCAAATAATCACTGCTTCCCTTCCTAATTTTGAAACTTTGTCACTGTCAAATTCACCCATAAACTTATACCTCATAAATTTAATGTAAAAAGACGTTCAAAATCACCAATGAACAGTATGCCTAACATTCAAAAAGTTTTCACTGCCACCGAAATAGCTTGCTCACCCCTCTCGGGCCACTCCATAAGCAGTCACAAGCTTTGATTAAGTAAACTTAAAGTGAGGCTGGAAGAGTCTACCAATAGAGTTGAAGAGAACATGTGCATAGCAGTCAAAACTGTTTCATTGCGACAAATACCCTGTTCACCCCTTTGGGGCCTCAGTTATAAGCAGTCGCAAACGCTGATTATGTAAGCTAACTATTACACTAGTCGAGTCTACCTCACAAATGTGAGGGGAACTAACTCCTAATAATCTCTTGACTGCTGCAAGTACTGCAAGTGCTTGTTTTTTTTCCTCGACTTTTTACAGTCCTATAATCAGATCATGACCTCGATTATGACACCGCCTCCTGGCCGTGAAAGGCTAGACAAAAACAGCCAAATGTGAAATTTTAAAAAAATATATAATTGTCATGTTCTATCAAAGAGTTAGCCTCACTGGTAGATCTATAACATATAGATCTAATACTGACATCTCTGCTTCTTTGCTTTGTGTTTGTGTATTCACATCTAAAGTTAAATTTAATTTTAGTTAGAATTGATATTTAATAAGATACTTTCCCGATTATTTTGGCGGTTGAACATACAATATGAATTCCGGATTTGTTTTCATTCACAATCTGAGTCGCCCCCTCGAGTAGGATTCGTGTGTGATATCTCCAGTCCATATCTGGTCCCGTTTCACTTTGATTACCCTGTCAAACAAGTCAGCCTTCGCCCCTGGTCTCACCTATTCATTTCATCTGTGATGTCTCTGGAGGATATGACGAAGATAATACATCTATAAAGTACGAGTTCAACTGCCCGAATCCTTTTCAGCAGCCCTGAAACAAAATAGAAGGGGAATATAATATTACATGTTATCAGTAGTCGGAATTAGTACCTGCCATAGTTGGCCTAAAACTGTTAGCTTACTTACTTCATTTTTTCCCATAGTGATTTCTGGTTACTCTGCACCCTTTCCTCTACTATAATTATTTATTTTAGTCTGACTCAGCTTTCGCATTCAGTTTTAGGGCATTTTGTAGAATCTGCCTTGGGACCGAGAATGGATGAATATCATTCTGTTATTAAAAGTATTAATAAATAAGAAAATATACTCTATTGTCTAATAAGTGGTCATTATTATTATATGAATAGAAACAAATTTCCTTCCAGCACTTTCCAGATTTTATATCTTTCAGCGGACGTGCAGATCAATGAAAGCTGTAGCTCTCTGCTTTGTAGGAGATGTGAGGAAATGCGATGAATACACCGCGCAGAGCAGGAGAAGGTTTCAACAAGAAGAAAACGAAAGATTCTGCAGTGCCGGTCCTCGTATGTCTTACAGCACAACGCTTACTCTCATTCTACTCGTTGCCTTTGCTGTCTGGCAAAAATCTTGAAGAGATGACGCATCCAGAAAAAAGGTTTACCAGTCACGACGGACCTGGTGTGTTTCATCAAAGCTGAAAATCTGTGAAAAGTTTAAATGCTGATAGGGGCAAACATTTAAAGCAAACTTATAACAAAATTCGTATTCTTGAGAACAAACTACGGTATGGTATGTTAAACGATTCTGCTTTATACAGTTGGACCTGTGTAAATCAAACTAGTATTTCAATCTTTTGAAGGTCCTTTAAAAAAAACAAATGAATGAACTTAAATCAATTACTAGTTTATTTTCCTATTTTACCTCCAAAATTGTTTCAAATCTGCCATAGAATAAATGTACCCAAGGGTTCCGAAAAATACCGGGTGTTTGTGCAATTCTTGCAGTGACTTGTATTGCAATATTATACTAGTATACGCACTCTGGCACACTTCCGTTTAACTATGAAGGACGCCATTTGAACCAAATACAGATTGGGGGGGGGGT